TTCAAGTAGATTGGATAAGTAGGGCCAGCTGTTGCTATTTATCTATCCACTTCAGATTTGTGCTCCAATGATAGGCGCCAGAGTCGTTTTAATCACCACGAATTTCGCCGCACGGTTTGCCGCACCCATCCAGTTCTGGGTGAATGTTCCGTCCCCCGCACTCGTTTGACCTAGGACGCGCCGGTTTGCTGTAAGACTAATGTGCGGTACTGAATTTGTTCTATTTGTTGTTTATTGACTATTTGTTTGCAAAATACAACGGTGAAAGTCCTTTTTGCATTCTGTCGATCGGAGAGGTACATCTACTTGGACAGAAAAATTTAGCTGCCTTAGTTGTATATTAAGAGGTACTGGGTAAGTCAGGAGGGAAAAAACGAAGTTTGGAGGAAAAGTAGTCAATTCAGGACAAAAAAAAAAAACAAACAGGAAAAAGACCATCATTATTCAAAAAAATATTGGAAAGGAATGATGTGGCAGTGCTTGAAACATCTTTAAAAAACTGTTCAACAACTTGTTCGCCTACCTGACATCGATCTCTGATCGCAAAGGCAAGCATTCCGTATAGTGAGGAAATTGCAAGTAATTCTTCCACTTTTTGCTCTTCCCTTTCTTCTGACCACCACCTATTGTGAACCAACTTTGTTTAAGCCTGGCTAGCAACGTTAAATAAAAAGATTCATTGTGTGTACTCGTACAGTAAGAACAGATTAACTCACTCTCTCTAGCTTTTATGTAGACAGTATTCGCAACAATATTCTCAATCTCCATGCTACTTTCATCGAAACGATATCACTGGTAAACTAAAACTGCCACAAATAGCACAGAAAGTGCCAAGAAATAGGAACAAGTGCGAGGAATAGGAGTCATAAATGCCGATGAAGTGGTCGCAAAGCTTAGCACACCATCGTTTTCATGCGAGCCCTCCGCCCGACTCAGTCCTAACAGCAGCGTCCAGCCGATCGATATTATCCTGTGCAGCGCACGTTGTGAATATGGGTGAGGTGTTCGTACGTAACTAACAGAACTACTGAACACGCTTTCGAACCCCTGCATACACCCTTTTCAGAATCTACTCTTTTTGGTGACTGAAGTGTAACCGACTCAGTGATCCATTCGTCTTTACAGCTACAATTTTCCCTTTTCCAGTACCAAAGAGTTTGTCCGTGAATACCGACCGTCCCTTCGCTGTAATTTATTGAGTTAGTGGATTTAGTTCATATGTGATAAACTTCTGGATTTCATGCACTCTAAGTGATATACCAGTTGAAGTGCCGTTCGCAGTGGGCATTTCCCGCAGAAGTTTACGTATGAGTTTTGCACGCAAACAATATAGATTTCCTTGCGAGTTAGTGCATTGGTATCGTGACGGGGTGCTTTCGGACTCCACCGACGTGCACTGTTTCCACCGACAGACCGACCGACTGATGGCGTTCCCAGCCACGTGTTGACAACTCTGTACACCGATGAATCCCATGCCCTCACGACTCACGCGGCCCTGAATGCAACCTATCCTGTTTTGAAACAGTTGGCCTGAACGGCGTCGGTCGGTCGGTGGAAACAATGCACGTTGGTGGGGTCGCCCAACCTGGTGGGTTTTTTAAGAGTGAGGCAGAAGTTATGCCCCAATAGTTTACAAAGTGCAAGCATCACTAGGTGTTCTAATTCGATTGTTTTACAAATTTTTATGGTGAGCTAGTCGTTCTGAAATTATCGTTACCTGATACTAATACACTCTTGTTGTTGCGGGCGCTGAGACAAAGGGTTTTGATGGGCCCTTTTGTTAACACCTCGCGGTGGTTCAGTAGAATTGTAATGCGAATTGCGATGGAAACGAAGAGTGAATCGAGCAGTTTTTGTTATGCACGTAACAGGGTGCGGGTAAAATATGAAGTGTGTGTATCCAGCGTGAGCCTTAGCCCATGTGCCCGTCCTCCAGTGTGGTCCGCCCTGTCAGATATGAGGTCGTGAAGGAATCATCGCCTGCGCTTCGCAGGCAATGATACCCCGGCGGGGCGACGGTGTATACAGCTTGAACCACAACTGCTGCACATCACCTCACAAGCGTCCTTATGCTGCAGTATGCTAGTGCTATGCTTATGCTAATGCCGTTAAAAACGGAACAGCAGTTCTTAAAACTCTACAGTCATAGAATCTGCTGTGAAAATGTTTTTAGTTGTTACTTGCTTATAATTGATAGTGAGACTATATAAAAGTGTGTGTTGATGGGGAGACGGGCAGTAGGAACGGTTTTGCGTAGTCGATCCGCCGCACGCGGCTGTCGCGAACCATTCGCCTCGTTATAACAGTTCTAGTGTTCTTCATACAGCTCAATCGCTGCGCGGTTATAACTTACCAGACGGCTACGCACGCTATCGTGTGCCCTAGGGGCTCTAGCCATGAGAAACGGAGCCACATGAGCTGATTTTCATTATAGACGTTTATCGACTTTATGAGTTTCCGCTCAAACCCCGCCTCCTGTGGACGGAGTCTGATCCTGCAGCCAACCATAAGTGTCTCCATCCTATCACCTGTGCTCCTACAAAATTTGAACGCCCTAGTTACACTGGGACAGGATTTATAGATTTCCGCTCAAATCCCGCCCCCTGTGGGCGGAGCCCGGTCCTGAAACCAACCATACGTTTTCCCACCATGGCGCCTGTACTCCTACCAAGTTTGAACTTTCTAG